AGCATTGGAATCTGACTGCAGCTGCAGTATTAGCTATTTTCCTTTACACAGGAGATGGATGAAATTCTCTGTTCAAAGAATATCTGACCTTTCTCTATTTGGACTTAAAAAAACCCATGGCCTTTATTGTACTAGCAGTGCCGTTTATAATACTAGGGATAACAGAAAAAGGATAGAAAACTTCTTTTAACAGATATATGTGCATTGCTAAGATTAGCAGTGCTCCTTTTGGCCTGATTTTGTCTCTTTAGGACAGGGATGCATGGAATGGGCTATTACATTTTTCATGTTGGGCCCTCTCTAGTCTGCTAAACGTGGAAGTCATGCAAGGTAGGTGGTGGCATTAAAAAAGTTGTTTTAAGCACAGCTCCCAGGTATTCATCACTGAATGTAAGCCAGGAGATACAGTAATTGTTCTATATGAGAAACAGCATTTTTACTAACAGATGTTGTCTGAGGCTTCAAGTTGAGGGTTTGTTGGATTTTCAAAATTGCTTCCTTTGTGCTAGTGATTTGAAATATTTCTTTGTCAAATTAAATAATTTAGGTGGGATATGAAGTCATTCATCAGTAATCCCAGAAAGAGAATCATAGTACTGGATGTCATTTACTCCCTACTCTTTTTAAATTTTACTGAGACTGTAATCTCCTCAGGGAAGTCACTGTCTGCTATGTTGTGTTTGTGCAATGCCTAGCAGAACATGCCTCTACTTTTTCTTGCCTTCTGAGTGCTGTCCAGTACAAAATAAGTAACATCATTATGATTCCGTTTTATTTCCTTCTTGTAATCAGGCTTGTCACAATTCAAAAAATAACACCGCCAAGACTTTTAGCTATAATGTCAGAAGTGACAGCAGCAAGAAGCACTATTTTTTATTCTGAAAGGGAGTCCCTTGATACATGTAGAATTTAAGGCCTTTGAGAGGCTAACTACAATTTATCATTTATGTGGCTCTATGGCAGGTAGTGCAGACTTCAAATAGAGGAGAGTAATGTCTAACATCTATATCACTTATGTTAGCTAAATGAGTTGTGGGCACTTTCAGGTAATGAACTGTAAGTTCTACTAATACTGAGGTTTAGAAGGTTATTGTGGAAACCTGGATGCAGCTATGTTTGAATTTAGCCTATTATCTCAAAATAGATCATCACCACAAATTGTGAATTTTATATTCATGAATATGCCTCCATAATTATAGAAGTAAGAGCAGCAATAATTACCATACATAATATGTAATCACTATTAAATGGGAGAATATTTCTTTATTCAAGTAGTCCTGTTGGTACCGGGCTGAGTCAATTCACAGGAGACTGAGTGGAAATCAAAGCTCAGACATTTGTAGGCATTTGGAATTTGACTTCCAAGTTTCAAGATTAGTCTGCACACCACATTCCCATTACTTGTTCTTGTGATTTTTGTAATCAACCTCATAAATGCATGAAGTATATAGCATTTTAAATATTCAAAGTACTGTAGAGTCATTACTGCTAATTTTGTCCCTTTTATCCCCCCACAAAAAGAATAATTTCTTATTTCTCACTCTCTTTTTTTCCCCTTCAGAGTAGTATTATGTTCAATGATGAATATTGAGAATTTCCAGGACCTCTCAAGTTAATGCCTGATTAACTCCTGCTTCAGATTTGATGAGATTTTTCTCTGCCTGTCCTGAAACTGTGCTGGGACAGACTGGGGAATAGCAGATCATGAAGCAGAGCTGTAAGTGCCAAGAGACGGGAGGGCAAGACTCAAAATCTGAACAAGGTGGGAAACAAGGTCTGAGAGACTTAGGAGCCAATCCCCCTATGTTTGGGGTGAATGAGCTGATTCCCTAGGCAGGAACAGTGACAAACAGGGCAGAAACTGAGGGACAAGTCGGATTCACCTGGAGTTCTCTGCAACCCTGACGAGTATGACATCTGTCTGTATCTGTCCTAGGTGAACTCTAAGATATCATGTTCTAAAAACAACAGCACACTTGCCTTCAAGACCTGAAATGCCTCAAATTTCCATGCCCTACTGCTTCAATAGTCAGCCTCTTCCAAGTCAAAATGAGGACAGGATTGCAGGATGCAAAATGCATCTTGTATATACACACAGCTCTCATGTCACACTCTTCTTCGCTGTGAGTCTGTAGGTGCTGCAAACTGCATATTTAGTTTGTGCCTGTGGTGGCAAAGTTTGACTGCCACGGTCTGAACAATCATCCTTACCCCATCTGCTGCTGCTTATGTGAGGATGAGGAAGGGAATGGCAGCCCATATAAATAGACAAATCCAAAGCAGATATTGCCCCACCAACACATCTGCCTCAGCTCTGCCAGGAAAAGGTCAGAAAGCTTCATCCTCTGAGATCCACACTGGGTTCTGCTTTTGGTGCTGTCTTGTCTTCAACCCACATTTTCAGGAGTTTCTCTTTGCCCTTCCTTTATTAGGGGAGCTGCTGGGAAGAAAAGCAGGTTAATCAGAGGCAGGGAATAGGAGATGGATAAGATGCCTTTGGCTGGGGAGGAGGATGGAGTTCTCTGTCTAGGATGAGTTGTGAGGTATGGGATGAGGTGAGGAGAAAATGTGTCAGAAGAGGGACAGGATGGAGGAGGGGAGGAAATGAAAAATTCCTGTTCCTAATGGTACCTTTCAAAGTGTCTTTCAGACACAGGACCTAAGCTTCCATTTTTTTCATGGACAGCTTGCTCCCAGGCCTTCTCATTTAAACCAGCTTAATACCCTTTTGACTCCTATCAGCCTTTACTATCCCCTAGCTCCCCATGCCATGTCTTCCAACCCTGAAAAACCCAAACCTTTTTCTGCCTCGAGATAGCAACATTCAATTTTGTTTTCATAGCTATGTAGCTTCTAGTTTTCTGTGCCATATCCTAGTCCAGTAGTGTGGAATCACCTTGTTGTTAATGTGCGTGATAGGAAACCATTATAATCTTATTGAAAGTAGCTAATTGACTTACCTTTAATGCTGAATAAGTTCTAAATAGTCATCTTGAAAAAATAATGCTGCACAGAGATGCCCATTCCATCAAAATTCTTTAAATCAGATTTCAGGTAAATAGAATACTAGTGCAGGGCAAGGGCTTTTCTTGTTTGCTCAACAAGTCTTTGCTGAACGATTAATATGTTTCTGTTAGAGTGTGACTGGGAAGTAATCCTATAATAAAATGCACTCAAGTATTTTCAATTACTTGTTCAAAGGGAAGTACTTGATAAAAGGGAGCAGTGTCAAGTGTGATCTGAAAGAAAACTCTTTCCACTGCCTAGCTAGGGGAGCATACACCAAGGTAAAATATTCCATTATCTGGTCTAAAGTATCAACTGTTGGTTTGTTGTGTTATAGTAATGAAGCATCTTGAAACTACAGATAAGTCTGTCTGATTTCTGTGCTGTGTTTCAATGCCCAGTGAGCTGATTTGTCTGTGCTTTTCCATTTTGTTTAATTGTCTATGGTGTTGTTAAGTACCTAAGAGAGCCAAGGGGGTTTGGCTGAATCTGGAAAGAGTACACTATGCAATTAAAAGCAAAACTTTTAATCTATCCTTACATTTAAAATGTTGCTGTTTTCTATGAAAATATTACTCCAGGAGTGATAATTAAAATCTCAAATTCTTTATAACACTTTTATTGACCATCAAGCAGATGGGTAATGTAGTTAAAATGCATAGAATACAATATCAAAAACATTAATTCTCTTTAAAACCATTTCTTAAAACTGAGAACACAGATCTTATTTATACACACCCCCACTATCATGTCCACTGTCATAAGTACTACTGGCACATTGCTCTTAGTGGGCTAAGTTAAAAGACCACAATGAGTCCCAATGCTGTTTCCAGAATGCTATAGAAATCAGGAAAAATTTTACACAAAGTATAACTAACTAATTGTTTTTTATGTCCTTTATGAGGACATAAATTTCCTGGTATCACCACAGAACAGAACCATGTTATCATCCATGAGCAGGTCTAATTATTATTATCAGTTATTCTATAGTTAAAGATAACTGATATTCAAAAGCCATGGTTGTGGCCAGCCTTCTCTAGATGACTCTGCTTGTCCAGAGTTGGTTGGACCAGATGATCTTTACAAGTTCCTTCAATCTCAGCCACCTGGTGATTTCTAAACCAGAGCTTATGAAGCCTTTACTTAAATGGAATTCCAAGACAAGTGTTTGATATGCTTGCACTCTAACAGACAAATGTTTCATGGCATTGCCAAATTCTTTAGTGACACTGTAAATCTTCCTTGTGCAATCCCATGGCAATTCACCATTTTCTTTGCATACTTTAATAGACAGACAGTATCTCTACATGCTTCTCTATAGACAAAAAAAAAAAACAAACACAAACCAAGATTCCAGAACTGTGCTTTGGTGCCGTACTTACACTGCAGAACTATAAGGCTTGCGTGTTGCTAAAGAACACTTGCAACTATGTTACCTGCTCACTATAACTGAAAAAAACTCCATCTCATATCTATGTTTATTAAATTTAATTAAAATTTGCTATAGAAAAATAGGTATAAAGTCTTTTATTATTTTAAATGAGTTTTCATAAGAACTTTGATCCTGAAAAAATCCAGTCTACTTAAGTAGACTTAAGTTACTCCTCCTACTGAATACAGCACTACAAACACTTTTTGGGTGTTCATGACCCACCATGAGGTCTATGAAGCACATGCTAAAAATGAAATAGTAGAAAAGGATTAAGTGAGTAAGCATTAAAAACACAAGGGTTATTTTCAGTCTTTCATTTACACCTGTCAGTTCAAGGATAATTTTGATCCCTTTGTGGAAATTGTCCATTTAGTCCCAACAGTATATGTCCCTCCAAATCAACCTGGCAATCTTGAGCTACTTTGCAAGCTTACTAGAAAAAATATTCTTGAAAGAGAGATTTTTATTAGTCATTCCTTCATCTTATTGTTAGACGAGCAGCCCAATCATGCCTTCTTTTTTGGTTCTGGTTTTGTTAGTGCTACTTATATTTTCTTTTTCATTTTTTTTATATACAGCTACTCTAATAAGTGTATTATGGATGTCTAAGGTTTAAAGAGAGATACTGATATGATTTAGGCTAACAATTATAATTTATCATCTGCTGTCGGTTCCATGAAAGAAGTTCCACAATTGCATGTTTTTCAAGAAGGCTTTTTTAATAAACTTGGTGTCTCTTGAACACTTACAAGAAGAGGTTATATAGTTCACAGAACTAGACTGAGATTCTCTTTACTGCAACTATTACTGTGATCTATCCCCTTTAATTTCTTAGAAGTTGTTTGGGAAATCCTCCAATATGTGAAGGGTCAGAATGCAGAAAAGATTTTCCATCTGGTGTTTTTTTAGCTGTTCTAGCAAAATATTAAACCCTAATGTGCAGCTTAAGCCTCCAATGCTCTTGAGAGCTCAGAATAATCTTTCAGAGTAGGTTTCCTTTTGATGGTCGGTGGTCATTCACAGTAAAACTCATTTGTGTTTTCCGCTATGGTTGTGTGATGGCTCTGCAGGGAGGAAAGGACTGCACACATTTGTTCATTAAACCTGGCTTTGGTAAGAAACCCTCTCTAGGACCACACAGACATAGAAATGGGATCACAGGAGAATCCATATCCCGTTTGTTAACCTGGTTGTAAAGCTTACAAATTACTCCTGGCCATGTGGTTTGGAAAGCTGTTGCTCGAACACGTGCTTTGTCTGCATGGAACTGCAGCATTGCTTAACTGGTATTTTCCCTTTGGATACTTGGTTGGAAAGTTTGGTTTGTCACAGTTAATCTTTAATTCACATTAACTCCAAAATGTGCTTAGTGCACTGAATATGGTGGTAGTACACGTTGAGGATGGAATAATGAATTGAGAGGTCATTTGTGCGCAGTGAAGTCTGATTAGGGAATCTCTGTAATTTGCAGGCCTCTGAGCTCAGACACCAAAGAAAAACTGCTCTGTACTTACAGTGCACAGAATAGGTACTGTGGGCTGACCTCTGGGCCACACTCAACCCCATCTTTTCACTCACTCCCCTCCCCAGCAGGAGAACTTCCAAAAGTGTTTGCCTGCAAGGTGGGTGGGTGGCTGGAGTGCTGGTGAGATATTTTCAGGAGCAGAGGATAAGAGATGGTCAGGGATTCTTGGGTGTTTGATTACAGTTCACAGCTGGCAAGAACATGTAGTATTTGCATTGTCTGCTTTCTGCCATTTAACATTGGATCTTATGTGTGTTTATATGAATCCCTAAGAAAGAATGTTATATGTCTAGCAATTCTATGTTTAAAGAAGGACTCGTAGGGTAAGTAGAGAAATTACATATTGATGTCAGCAGGCATAGAAAGAAGATGAGTAATTTTGACCTTTATAAATATCTTTGAGGTTAAATAGCAAAGAAATGAAACTAATTTAATTAAAGAAAGTATTACTTGTCCCTTCTTTTGAGCCTGGGATCAAGAGTCTGGCCATGAGTGAGTTTAGCACTTTGCTGTATTTGGAACATCCTTTCAGCTGAAAGTTGTATCTCAGTCTGAAATGTAACCCTTACAGTATAAGAGTAGCTACCACTCACTCATCTCAGTTATGTTTCTCATTTTCTTCTCTTTTCGCTTTCATAAAATTCTTTTAAATTCCTCAAAAGAAGGTATCTAAACAGTACAGCAGTGATAGCTGTCCACAGCAGAAGAAGGCTGGTGATGCACAGACTTCTGTAAATTCTGCTTCTCGTCCCAAGGAATTGTCACTTCACTGCTCCACAACTTCCTTGTTCTAAGGATACTGTCATTCTCACAAGCCACATGAAAGGCTGTGTCCTGGAGGCATGACCTAAGCCTGAAGGTGTAGCCATATGCTTTAAGGGATTTCTTTAAAAGCCTAATGCCTAACTCAAAGAAATGCTGGAAGGGAGGCTATAAAGAAGGTCATAAGACCAAAAAATTAGTAATATACGAAACTAAAATTAAATTATAGTCACCTGACTCATGTTCAAATAATTTATTTCCCTTATCAGTTTTTTTTAAATTTTCCTGTTATTCTTTATTTAACTCTCTACCCTCAGCAAGGGTGTTCTATGGCTTCTTCTCTGAAATATACTGAATTTCTAACTATTGAAATTATTACAGAGAAGTTATAAAATTTCAGACTTACAAAACTTTCAGTTTTACAATAATGAATCCCTGTTAGAATATATTCTGAGAAAGCTTTGAGTATTTGTATGTGGAGTAAAAAGCAGTTAAATCTCCTTTGATTCTAAAAGCATTTGTATTATTTTGGACCACTCAAATTTCTGATTTTAATTAGTAAAAAGCACTTTCAGTTCTTTCATTAAGGAAAAATACAAGAAATTTCAAGCACAAGGTGGGTTTTACGATTATATTTGCAAACAAGAATAAGTTTGTACAATTCACTGTAGAAGTATTGCCAATGATACATATCGGATAGTATTGGAGCCATCTTGGAAAAAAAATACAAGAAATACTTGTATTGAAAGGAGATTGAGTTTAAAATTTAGATAAAGAATGGAAAATTCTTAATGGCTTTAGATATAGCCAAGTTTTTTATTGTTGAGCCAATTTCTCTAGACTTACTCGAAGTTGCCTTTTTTTGTTTGTTTGAAGATAGTGAAAGTTGAAAATTACAGTAATATTTTTTGGAGTGTAGAATAAAAACCACTGTAAATTTCCCTCAAGTCCTGAGAAAGTTTGAGATGTAATCTATATACTCTTTATGTGTGCTAGTATGCTGCAAGGTATTTTCCTAGGAATTGCAAAAAATGCAAACTACATCACTACATTATTTTTGACAAATAGTTTTTATTCTCTTTTTACAATAACATCAGTAGACTTACAATAAAGCTGCAGCTTAAGAAGTTGCTTCAGACACTGTTTCTGAAGATGAAATAAGTTCCTGGTAGAAAATATTTTCAAGTAAAAAAAATTTGCAGATCTGCTCACAAACCAGAAAACACAATAATGATCTTAAGCCTGATTAGATTTCTGAGTCCTCTTGAAATATTTTTGTTGTAGCAACAACTGTGAATGAATATTGTTTGAAGTAAATACCTTTTCTTTGTAGAAATGTTATCCAGCTGCAGTGTTCAAGTTACAAGTTACAACACGTCCCCATGTCCTAACTATTGTGCAGTGTGACTCCCTTAAAGAGAAGAGGGCTGTAGAAAGAAGCATAGACAATGCTTTTTACCATGAAACAAGAAAGTAGGAAGGGTAATGGCAGATCTTATTTTCTATCATTAATGAACAAAAGTATTCCCAGCATGGGTTGGCAATGTAAACAATGAATATTTACTTAATTCTTACTCTCTTCTTCTGAGAACCTCGAGATTTGCTAGTCTCAGCATTCATGGGCATGATATGCAGCTAAGAAAACAGCAGTGTGTTATTCTTCCTCAGTATCCCAGGGTTTGGATGATTGTTGTGGTTACAGGTTTTAGTGTTAGAGATTATCATAGCTGAGGTGGTTTGCACTTGAAATGCTGCCTGTAGCTCATCAGGGAAAAAAGGATGCTCTGCTTTCAACATACAGTACTCCTTGAGTTGGTCGTGGTGTGCAGGCTTAGAAGATGCAGGTAAGACCTTAGTGAGAGGAGTCACAGTTATCTGACTGTTAAATTCCAAATATTGTCAACCTTAATATTTAGTGGTTGGAATAACTTTAAGGACCAGAGGGAAAAAGAATACTTTCTGTGCCTTCATTCTTTCCTTGTAACTCCTTATAGCATATTTGTCAGCAATGCTATTGTCTTGTCCCTTTATGTCAATGCAGCTTAAAATTACTCCTTGTTTTCTGGGACTAAATGCAGACTTGTAAATTTATGTGGCCGAGCCCAGACAGGCTGTGCTGTGCCTGTTGGGCTCCCCACTTTTTATTTTTATTTGTATATGCATAGAGGCCATTTATAAAGTCCAGAGAACACAACTTTGAAATTTTTATTTTAAGGAAGCTTTCCTAGAAAAAAACTATCTGTATAACCACCATGTTCCATGATAGTCTCCCAGCTATCACCACCTTAGGTGGCTGGTAGTGGGACTTCTGGAGCTCCACTGCACAGAGACAGAAATTATGGCTTCTCAAGAATTGTTTCCAAAGAGCACCTGGCTGCTGGTGATGGTGCCTTTTCCTTTGCATTGAGGAGGACAAGGCATCGTTTCCACAGCTTGACTTACTGTCAGTCACCAGATAACTGAGACCCTACACAAGCACATATCTGGGGAAGCTCATGTCCCAGCTCTGACACAATTGATGCCTGCTTCGTGGAAGTTTGTCTGCTTGAGGTTCCTTCACCATTGCTGAAATAAGTCACAGACTATCCTGAATTATCAGTGCTTTCAGAAGATCCCAGAAGGTCATTATGGGAAAAAAGGAAACATAAAACTGACAAAAAAAAAATCCTTTAGGTCTTTAAGCCAATGCTTAACATCTGCATCTTATCTGTTATAGCTGGAGAACTTCAAACTTACAAACAACTTCAGAAATTTAATGAATTCCATCTAAGTTGTCCCAGATAGATCTTTATAATTTATTAGTGGTATAAAATACTGGAGGATGAGGTCCTAAAAAGGATTTATGTGATATGATAAAACTACAGTGTAGCCAAGGGATTTTGGTTAAGTTAACTTATCCAAATGACTGATACCTACTGCTAGAAAGATTGTCTGGGGTAAAATAAAGCCTGGTCACTGGCCTGCAGTAGAAAGTATAAGAGGGATAAATGTTGTCTGAAGACTTCAGTTAAAACTTTAAAATGTCTAATGGTGCATGAAAGCAGGAACCTTGGTACAGAAGAAGTTGCAGGAATTATTCATAATAATCTAATGTTCTTTGAATTAGTTATAGCAAGTTTGCCAAACGAGCAACCAAAGGAAATATAATCTCTCATTTGTTATCTTCAACTAATAAAACAAAAAGAAGATTGTTGGAAAATCGGATGTAAAAAGCCACAATTAAGGTTAATGAGGAGAAGAAATTTACAGCTGTCATAAAGGATTATGATCAACACCTGCTATTCAGTATCACTGCCTCAGAGGACTGAGGAGTTTCATGTACTACTGACTGACTAAACTCACCTGAATGCCTTGAGATTGACCAAAACTATGGTTTGGATTCTCAATAGTCTATTGAAAAACAGTACATTTTATCAATCAAAGAAATTCTAGATTTTTTTCTTTTCTTGATAGAGAAAATTTTCGCTCATTGGGAAATAATGACTCAAAAGCCCCCCAAACTGAGATTACTAATTACTGCAAGACAATAGATTTCCAGTTAACTGCAGGACATATGTGACTCTTAGAAGAGCTGGAAAAAGCAACTTTTGAAAATAATGATTTCTCAGTTTTACCTGTGGCACAGGTGCACTGCTTCAATTAATGTTATCACTGTTTGTGTCATATTCCAATGACATAAGTATATTTTAAATTTCTCTTAAATTCTCTCCTGTCAAGTTTGCTGAGGATTGCCATGTGTGGTAGAGCAGCCATTAAGGTTCTGTAAGGATTACTGACCTTCAGTATTTCATCTTGAAAAGCTGAATACAGTTGCTTCCTCCTGAAATGCATTAAACAAACAAAGCCACAAGCCAATGGCTTCTGTTCACCTCACAACAAATTATTGTGTTGGGGTCTAATGAAGGTTCTTTCAGCAGTACTGTCAATCTATTTTAAAATTTTATTTCAAGAAAACATCTTGACATAGAAGAAGTTACTTGCAGCTCTTTGTTAAACCAGTATAAGCTACTAATTTGTATGTTAAAGTTAAAATGAGCTTTTTTAGCCTTTGATAGTTCTCAAGAAAATTCACAGAAAACCCCCTGATTTCTTTTTAGGTTCTAACTTCACTCCTTTTTCTCCTATATGTTTTTAACTTTTAGAAGTAGTGAGCTGCTTATGTCATGGCACAGATAAATCAGTCATCTCAGAAAAGTTTTCATTCTTTATTGTGCTGCCTCATTTCCCCCCCCATTTTTACAAAGCCAGTTGATTCCTGGTTGGCTTGACTTGGTCAAGAAAATACCACATTTAATAAGCATGTTGAAGAGGGTGAGGTTATGAAACATATTTATTTCCTTTTGTCTTTATTTAAGTTGTTAATTATTAGCTTAATTAAGCCTTTTGGTAAGAAAAGGTGAATTCTCCATCATTGTTTGAGGGAAAATAGTTGGAAGGAGAGTTTCAAGGTGTTGATTTGAACTTTTTGTTGAAAAAATGCTTTACTTGTTCATTTATGGCTTTCTTTTCCTCCACAAGAGCATGAGAGTAGAATTCCATAGAATTCATACAAAGTTTGTTTCTCCTCTGCCTCTAGAGAGGATATCACCCTTTAGACATCATAGATTGTCCTCTTAAGTATGGCTCAGTGTCATGTTAATCAGTTTCCTGATGGCATACAGAAATTCCAGCATGTGATGCTGTTCCTATTGCTGGTAAGTTTTGCCTTCATATGTATAAGCTACAAGTGAAGGCCATTTTGGATAAAAATTGAGATTTTTTCTGTTCTCAAAAACACCAATACTGACTTGAGGATAAAATTAAATTTGTGACTCTTGCTCTGGTTTGATCCACTTGTTCTGACCAGCAAATTCATTCTCACATTCTTAATCCTCCTGTCAAGATATCCTATCATGACCTTGGCTCAGAGACTCAGGATAGGAATCTCCAAAGAAAGCTGCCTTTAGTTCCTGTAAAGATGAAGACATGAATGATTTGGCTGCAATTTTGGGAAGTACTCTCTGAAATTTACTGATGAACATTGCATTTGCAGGAAAATTTACTTATTTTCATCCAGCCCCTTGCTGAATTCTGCTGCTCAGAAAAATGTGGTGGATTCACACTGAGTTAGAATAATTTTGCTTTTACTGTTATCATTTAAGGTGGCTTTCACTTATTTTCCTTCCTCTTCTTTGTTCTCATTCCAGTAGTGGATATGTCATATTTCCTGTGTTTCTGATACTACAAGGAAGGGGTTGGAAATTCAGTCACCTTTCAGTATGACTGCGATAAGGGCAAATCTTGTGATACAGAAGTTGTGGATAATTACAGCTAGGCTAATCTGGGATTACTTCATTGTCATATTGTTCCCATACATTTGCTCCACATTATTCCTTTGAGAAATGCAACTAAATATTAAGAGCTTCATTTAGTTGTGGTCCTGCCCACATTAAACTAGAAAACGATTTAAGTCAGACGAGGAGATTCACTAGGATGACAGGGGTCTTAGTTTGAGGTCAGTGGAGAGTACAATCACAGTAACTATGATGAAGCTGCCTGGATAAATGAGTTGACTAACAATTGTACGTGTAATTCATGAACTTGGAATGGGTGGTGATGTGCTTATCTAGGTCCCTGTGTCCTAGGACACACTGTTCTGGTTTCTGTGGTAGCTACCCACCTTGGGTGCTATTAAACCTTGAACCTGAACCCTTGGTTGAAGAGTTAAAAGAGCTGAAGCATTGCTTTATCCATGGAGAATACCTGTTGATATCTACATAGATAGATAGATAGATAGATAGATAGATAGATAGATAGATAGATAGATAGATAGATGATAGATAGATAGACAGATAGATAGATAGATATAGATATCAAACACACTGTTTGCCCTCCACTGTTACCTCTGTTCGTTGGGCTGGCTGAATCAAATATTCATTGTTTCTCTGAGCTTTTGCCACATGCAGCTGGAATAGATCTAAAAGTACATTTCTTTACTATTATTTTGCTCACATAGTCATATGAACAAGATGGATAATCTGAACTTGCTGTTGATCCCGCAGCTATCTCAGTGCAGGCAAAGAATTCCCTCTTTTATTTTCCTCAAAACAGTGAGGGCCCTAACAAGAAACGTATCTGCAGTTCAGAATTTAAAATATCTGTGAAATCATCTGAACAGTACCTGATCAACAAGTGCCTGAACTTTTGGGAGCCACTAGAGGCAGCGTTCTATGAATGAACAACTCATATTTAACTTCAGGGTCCAATAAAACGTCAAGAAGGCAGAGGATGTCAGACATCATCTGCACTAGTGCTACTTGCATTATTCTGTTAGGATACAGACAAGAAATGTGGATACTAAGTACTAGGAATGGAAAGGAGAAGCAGATTTTAAATTATTGCAGTCAGGAACACAGAATTATGTAGTGCACAACTTCGATGGAAGAACATTTTTCTTCTCTTTTGGTGTCCAAAGGTAGATTTATTGTTCTTTCTTGTACATAGAAACACTCTGCTATAAGTTGCCTTAGTCCCCTAGCTGATAAGGATTCACTGGAGAAAATACAGTATTAATCTTTCTCTTAATATTTGCCAACAGCAGTTGGAAAATATTAGCTAGTAAATGCCACACAAATAACTCAACCTTGTGTAGAAGAAATACCTTCTTCAACCTGGGGATGTTTATTTCGAAAGTAGACATTCTGAATCAATTTCTAATGTTCTGCCTGCAGGACTAACAAGTCAGATGTGTCCATGTTTTAGTCATATTGAAACTTTTCCTCTGGAATACATATGAATTCCCTAACAAAAACAAACAAACAAAAACAAACAAACAAAAAACCCCCAAGCAAACAAAAAAAGCCAACAAGCTAAAAAACCTACAAACAAAAAAACCCCAACCAAATAATAAGCTGGTCTTAATTTAGTCCATCCTTTATATCAAACAGATAATTTATTATAACCATTGGATTCAGGATGTAGTAAAGCTTTCAGATGTCTTCTTAGCTCTCAGGAAAAAGTAAGCCCTAACAGAAATGCTGGAAATCCAGATAAGCAAATGGCTTCTTTTCATCCCAGAATATGCACCTGGACCAGGTGGAGGTAAAAATGAAATAAAAAGGATATGGCCTGTGTCCAACAGAAAGTGGCTAACAGGGTGGCAAGCTGAGTGGTCACAGACTGAGCAATATACTTTGGAAAGACAAATTCACAATATTTAACTTACTTGTCACTGGTAAATGAGGTAATGAAAAACAAAATTAAATTAATCAGGAAATTGATTTTCAAATATGTCAAGATATAGAAAACTCTGAGCAAAGCAGCTCTTTGGTTCTCCCATCATGAGTATACTGTTTCCCTCTCAAAGCCAGAAATAAGGAAAGTCCACTCATCTTTTTGACTAAAGACCAAAGTTGTAACTTGGTGTTACCTTTCCTATGCACATTAGGTAAGGAAAAATCCTATTCAGTGCATACCACTGAATTAAGGAAAAAATTAATCTATAGGACCATTTTATTTCATCCAAACTATGTAATAAACACTTCTGGTTTTGATGTTTGGTGGTGGGAAATAATTTATTTCTTTTGTGAGATGTCTACCAGTGATTAATGCTGATATCAATGTGCTTATGAATTTTCCAACCTGTTTGTCCACAAGTCCCCTGGAAGATGACATCCCACATGCTCACATTTATGTTCTTCCTCTTGCAGTTTACTGGAGATTAATCTCCTCAGAGTGTCAAAGATTAACTGTTGGGAGCATCCCAACAATAAAAGAGAAGCAGGCAGTGTGTTTGTTGCCATAATGAGATTGAAACTTCCTTTCCAGTAAGTGGACAGCTGAATGACTCAGCCATTTATCAGCTGAAGACAGAGAAATGGAGGTGCCTGGAGAAAATAATTACTTATTATGGATGGCAGCTGGTACGACATGAATATGAATCATGAGGAAAGCAGTTAGTTTAGAAAGAGCCCAAAGGAGGCTGGGCAACATTGCAGAAATACCAGAGGACAGGTGACTGCATTGAGTCTTAGAAATGTAGTTATGATTTCCAATAACTGGCCAAAACTGATTCATGTCTTCAACGTTCTTTCCCAAAAGGAGACTAAAGTTACAAACCCTACTTCACAGGCAAGATTTCTACCACACAGAAATTTTATTTTTTTAAATGTGTAAGAGACTTGGTCACCTCCTTTATTCAGAGAATTAAATTAACCCTGCTTTGGCTGACATCTCAATTGAAATCTTTGGCAACTGATAAAGGAGTTGTAGTCGTTACATTAATGAATAAAATCATGTTAGAGGTAACAAATGAAGGAACAGAACATGTTATTGAATAGTAGAACCAAGCACCAGTTTTACCTTTTGTGAGAAGACTGGAGATAATTTTTAATGCCCTTATGCTAGAACTGTACAAAAGGGGGAAAGGCAATGAAGAGTCTTTACATAAGTATTCTAATTTTTGACTTTGAATTCTTGAGGAGAAGTAATTGAGTTTACCTGAAAACCACAATAGAAACAGGTATATTAAGATATAGCAAGAAGATTGTAAATGATTTTCTTTTTCTGGTTTATTTTTGGTGAGAATCTAATTTCTCTGAGGGTGTTAACATAAGAATCTTGTTATTCAGTTTGTATCTTTAGGTCAGTGTTTGCAATCTCTCTGTATAACCTTTACAAAATTCTGTACAAATTCTGTAAAATTTTTTTCTTCATATTCTTCACATTCTTTGCATTTTTCTGATTTTGTGGAAGTCAACTGAAAAACAAAATGCAATAGTAAAGCAGGATACTGATCCATTGGTTCTGACAGAGAAGTAATTTTTTTGCCCTGTCTTTGGAAATAATTCCAATGCAGGTAATGGAAAATATTAGTGGAGGCTTCCATGGTAGTTATGGTCTATGCAGTTCCTGGCTTACTTTTTGAATAGGATCATCCTTGAGATGTAAATCACTTCAGTCAAAGATGCAAATGACTGTCCCTCTGAAAATTCGAATACTTTTCTGTATGTGTAACATACCTGACTGCAGGTACTGAAGCTGCAAACTGTCATTCAAATACCCTGACATATGTAAGCATGCACAAAAGTATTTGCTTTGATGTAAATCCTGAAAGTGTTTTCTCTAAAAACCACTGATCTCTGATTTTTCATTAATGTGTGTGCAGCTTACTGGAATCTCATTAGTTTTCATCTCTACCATGCCACCATTTATTTAACAAGATGTATTTCTGCTAGTGAAGAAGCATTTTTGATTTTCCTTTCTTCCACAGAATGTTGGTGTTGCTTACCTTTTTTTCAAAGGTTTCATTTAGATTTTTCCATATGTTCCATACATCTTGTGTTTTACTACAATTTTTGATACGACACTCTTGAATTATCACCTGTGTCTCTAAGAAAAAGCACCTTATTACAAGTTCTTGGCATTCTTCCTGAAAAAAAAAGCAGTTGCAATAGTTTTACGATTAAAAAGGAATAAGCATATTTATGACATAATTTATGATATAATTTAAAACACAAGTATAAGTGAGATGTGATCTAAGATAAAATCAGCCACAAAGAGGCTGATTTTTACTTACTAGGCATCTTTTCTTACTATTCAAATACATTTGAATATTTGCAAAGATGGGCTATGAGAGCTAAGAACAAACAGGCCAAGCAGTTTGCCAAGATGAGGTGAAACTATTAAATTAATATTATTCTTTAATATTATTCTTAGTAGTTTTAACTCTTTAATTCAGAGATTCTGAATTCAGAATGGGTAAGAGAGAAGAGGAAGTAGGTAATGCTCCCTTGAATTACAAATTAATCCCAGCATTATTTTAGTATTGTTTGCTTTGATAAAATAATTTTGAATCACACAACCACAGAATAGTTTGTGTTGGAACGGACCTTAAAAATCCTGTACTTCCAACCTCTGCTATGCACAGGGACTCCTTTCTGTAGGCCAGGTTCTCAAAGCCCCATCCAACATGGCCTTGATCATCCCTTTCAATTGATTAATTTTAGTAGCAGATGACTAAATAAAAAATAATTAATGCATGCTTGCATAATTTATCATAAGCAGCACTTTGATTAGAAGAACTATTTATTCCAAGGCAAATTACTTGATTTTAGACACGTTTATCAAATTAGAGCAAGTCTGCTTTAAGAGATAATTTCTAGTAAGGGAATGAAGCCACCACATTAAACATTAGTTGTGGTCATATGTGAAGTTTACTTACATCCTCATCTGCATTTGCAGTGTATAAACTGACATCAATATCCTACAAGAAAACAAGAGTTGGAATTATAAACATTAGCTAACAAACACCATCCCTTTCCCTATCGCCCACACTTCTTAGCTGAGCGCTGTGCCAAATATTTTATTAAGTCTTCTTCTATGATTATATGAAATGCTGACTGTTGTATGAACTTACTTTGGATGTCTTGATCCTTTCCAAATCTTTCAGAACTTCTGCCCACTTGCAGTGACCTGCTTCTGTCTTTGGTACATAAGCACTAGAAGAGAATAAACACAGTGACCACTAGGCTAGACAGAGGGATCTACAACATTCATGCTGGGAAAAAAAGAGACTCTGCATTTTAAGATACTACAGGTACATTGTTTACATGTGGTAAATGTTTGGGGCAAGGAAGCATATTTGACAAGTCATAAAATCACATAGTTACATAGAAAATGTGCCTCATGTCACACACGTATAAACAATGTGGGGTTTTTAAAAGGCCAGATTTATAGAACATAATGCAAGAGAAAGATTCAATTACCTGATGTGAAATACCTAAAATTGTTTTAAAGTGTAAAAATAAAATTCCAAATCCACTCTCTGAAGTGACTGGAGACAAGTAACAACTGTGCTAGTAAAAAGAAATAATTTGTAGTCAGTGTCTGATTGACACTGATTTTGTAGTTACCATAGGAAGAAGATGATTAGTCCCATCCCATTCTTTAAAAGGCAAAAGCAATGGCTGTTCAGAAGCCGACACAGCGGATACTGCAGGCAAACACTTTTCAGGTGTGTTTTCTGAAAGACACAACCAAGGTGATACCTTGTCACAATTTGATTCCACAGAACTTTGCTTTAGTACTGACTTAATTAACCAATTTGCCAAGACTTCCAATAAAGACAAGATCTCGTTGTGCATAGTGGGAAAGACCAACTGATTTGTAGCTTAGAGAAATACATAATCACTTTACCAAACAGTTGGTAGAAAATCAGATGCTGAAGGCACACTGTGAAAACCTGAACTCATCCTGGGCTCCCTATTTATTTATCAGTTCATACTGCAGGCTACAATTTAATGTAGAGGCAATATTAAAGAACTTTTGTTTTCCATCTCTCCCCTGGCTACCATTTGTTACCCAAATTCAATGAATTACCTACAACATTAACTCAAATATTGTGGGTGCACATATGTGAGAATCTACATTGAATGTATCAAATACTATAGTTACGTGTACAAATGTTAAATAGAATATTTAGATAGAGTATATACTTACATTTCTTTACACAGTGTATTGTGTGTCTAATAGTAGGCAGTGATGCATTTAAGAATTTCCTCAGTGGAGTTTGGCAACTGGAAATAAGGAGAAGCTGTGAGAAGCTGTGCATTGTCCATCAGGAAACATTTCCCTGTGCACAGCCTGGTACCCTTTGTTCCAAAGTCAAAAGCCCTTTGATTTAGCTGATAAAGCTCCCTCACAGGCTTAGGTTAATTATCTGCTGCAGTTTTGACCAAAGGTTTTATTCCTTATCATACATGCAATACTCTATAACTGACTCAAATGATGTTTCTTTAGTAGTAGTTTCTTTACTTGCAAACTTGAAAGCATTTAAAAATGGACCAGAGAAGATAACAAAACAATAGCTAGCACTGTGCAGTGGTAAAGGTGTCCAAATGGGAGGTCAGCCCATGCACTATCAGGATGGCAGCTCACTTGCTGAAAATCACCTTAGTAAAGCAGAGCCAGCAAAATAATGAGCACATGTGTGACAGGACTTCTGGAGAGTATTTCTAACAAATATTTACTACTCTCTTAAACAGAAAATACTTTAAATACATTGCAATTATTTTGTTTCCAAGCCCCAAAGATATAGCTGAAACAGCATAATTACCTAATTCTACATAAATTTCCACATTCAGTAATGGGACACAGTGTCAGTCCCTTTTATCCCCTTTGTTTGTCCAAAACCCGTTAAATAAGAGCTATGTAAATGAATGGTTCTGTGATAATCTAAATTGCAGGAAGGACAGAGCAAGTAACATCTCCTACATCTTCTGAACAATTTCCATATGGAGGATGCTGTGTTATGGTTGACCAAAGTAGGTCTACAAGCAAGGCTAAACCTTGTCACTGTTTCCACAACAAATGGAAATTGAAAATATGCGAGTGCTAAACTCAAAATATTAAGTACTTATACATGTATATTTTTCAAATGTACAGGAAAACAAAGGAAAAGAATTATTACTGCTTGGATATGGTCAAAATACCTAAATCACTTTGCTACAGTATGACAGAAAGGCTTTAACCTTTTCACAGTTAATATTGATTTGAAATTGTCATGTTATTTATTTTGGGTTTGGATTTTGTTTATTTGTTTTTGTTAAATCTGCATACTGACTGCTTTCATTTGATATGTTAATCCTTAGAAAATATCCTATTTTGGTTGTATTTTTTATTATGATGATTTAAGTGAAGTTCAGAAGTAGCCTTACGGGGAAACTCGAGTGCATTTAAAGAAATTTTAAACCTAATTGGTGGATATAGCTGAAGAAAACATGTTTTAACCCCAAGTTTTAAGAAAATAATTTAAAGAATACTAGAAATATTTTTCAGTAGTTAAACATTTTTAGCACTGCAAGCCAGTTTTTATGAAATGAGAAGAGGTGGCAACAAATTAAAATATGAAAGACTTATGATGGTTCCATAACCACAAACTAGCTTTATAATTTATAATTAGTGATATGAGGCCTTAAAAAGCTGATTTGAGAGAGAGTCCCAGTCCAAATGCATTGTCAAATTTATGCTGCAGAACAAAGTGTTCATAGTGAGGAAATAATATATTATAATATCAAGTGAATAATGGACCAGGGTTATCATTATTTTGTCATTTGTTTCCTATTTTAAATAACTGTTCACTGTAATGACACTGGAACACTGTGTTCTTATTGATTAAATGGTGTCTGCATCTTTGGTTTTCTTAAATATTGTAGGTAACCTTTATTGTAATAAAATTATAATTGCTAATGTAAAATAAATGCTTAGTTTTAGAAGTAATAGAAATCTTCTACTGATGATAAATTCATGAAAAATATGCTACATGCACACTCTAAAGGGTACTCCTCTCATTCATAAAGAGGTCTTAATGTCAACTACATCCCCCAACACACTCCTTTCATCAATGCAGGGCCATTTTCTACTTGAATTTCTTAATTCTTTCATCCAAACTATTATTCAACAACAGAAGCATTACTAGCTGGCTTAGAAGCTTTTACAAATTGCTCTCCTGCCTTGAACAGATAATGTTGTAATGTAAAAATTTTCTTTGGATGATGTCTGGTTTTGATTTCTTACTCTGTGTAATCATTAACAAATTACTCTCTGTCTTCATTACATCTCTGGTATTTACCCTTCTGAACATTGGCCAAAGGAGCAGCTCATATTTACAGGCATAAATATTTTTTTCTGTAGCTTGTGTCCTGATTACTTGCTACTCTAAAGATTAAAGCGTTTGGAAGTGAATATATGCTCTTCCAGAAATCAATTATGATATACACGATAATATTTGGGAAAGGAATGCTATTTTTAATAATGAATTTCAATTAAGCATTTTAAGAGCAATTACGTCTGAGTGATATCTAAGGTACAGCAGTATTGTTTTCTCTTTAAATAAGCAAATCTATAAGTAAATGAAAAAAACGTTCTTTAACAAAGCATAAACAGCCAATGACTTTGCTGATTTGGCTGTCACAGAAACAGTAAGTTACTCAAAAGAAAATATTCATGGCTTTTTACAGTAATTAAGTTACCTGTGATGAAAAATACAGATAGTTAAAATTGCATTTTTCTGTCTAAATACCGTATGTCTCAAGTTCTTTATTAATATTTGCTCTTAAATGTCTCCTTGAATTCTTGAGATGAGATATTCATCAATAAGAAAGTTTATTTCCTGGTTATGCCATTTGGTGATATTGGCAAAAGTTTTCTCTTTTTTCTCCCTATTTTGAACTGTATTTTTATTCTTTATTTATATCTTTATTCGTCATCTGCTTCCTTGTTCTTGAAAACAAATGACCAAAAACATACAACGTTCTCAGATCTTATAAGGGATTTAGAAACTGCTTTCAGTTTTACTGGAAAAAAGGGAACTACTGCCAGTGTTTTCTGCACTACTGTATGACACTGGTGGCTCAGACCTCAATATGTTCCCCTGCCAGAACTTTATGTCCACTTCTTTAAAAATCCTGGAACGTCCCGAGAGTCTTTCACCATTTACAGAAAACTCTTACCCTATAAAAACCCCAGAGCTCTGAAATCTAAACTTAATTTTTGATTTCTCTCAAATTGTCTGTAACTTCTTGACTTCTAGCACACAGCTCTTTTCCTTGATAAGTCCTTTCCTTGTTCCCATGAACAAATCAGCCTTCTCAAACACGTCTCTTGTAACAATCTATTTTCCCATTTACCATCTTCATTCTGTAATGCAATACACTTCTTGCACATTATTTATTAGTATTTTAGTGAGTCTCTTCTTCTCCCCTGTTCTACAAATACAGGTCCTCAGCATTTTCTGTCTAGCTTCCTGTGCAGCCAAGTACTTTAAATCTTTTCTCTGTTACTGCTGCAAATTTCCCTCTAAAATCTCACCATCACCTCAAGCTTTCTCCAGTCTTTTGACATTTTATTGAGCAACGCCTCATGCTCATAAAGCAGTGGTCTTTTTAGATCCATATTCAAGTACTGTCTACATCATGTAGGGCTGAGTTTTACACCCACTCATTTGCGTTGTTGCAGCAATTCCTCTTCAATGTTTCTTTTGCCACAATAATTAGAGCCTCCTTTAGAGAACTCTGCCTCCTCCCCCAACAAAATCTCACCCCGCGGCTCTTGTTCTGGTATCCTCTGCTTGTTGGCTCCACTAATTAATTGTTCTGTCCTCTTGCTCTAGTGCAATTAGCTTCAAGGGGACAAAGTGCCAAGTATCTGCATTAGAGCGCTGCATCTACTTAAGGTTTTGTATTGTGCATAATATTGGAGCTCCTTCTCTTTGTTCAGAAGCATACAGAATGTCAGAGTCTATAAGACTGAGAAGAAAATCAACCTTTTTCCCCTAGTCTTACACCAAAAGAATGTTCTTTTCCAATTTTTTTCCAGTGGAGGAGTCATGGAGAGTAAAGATTTCATAAACTAATGGAAATGACTGGAGGAGGAATGGAGCCCATAAAGAAAGCAGTACTTCTGAACTAGATAGCTGTTTCCATATTGAGCCCTTAAATAAGTAATTTTGAAATCAAATTTTCATGGATTATGACTAAGTTTTAGAGGAAAGACATTTTCTTAGTGCCTTGTCCTGGAGTAAATGCTGAAAGTCAAAGGGGCAGATTCACTGAAGAATCTCTCTGCTCCTTCATACCTAAGTTCCTTTAGGCTTCTTCTAGGAATCAACCAAAGGGAAAAAAAACAAAAAAAGCCCTGAATATGAATTAGTGTCAGAATGTAATTATTCAAATTGATAAAGACAGAGAACCACATTAATGTTTTCTGAGACAAAAAGAAACTTATTTTACATCTCTGCTAACTTCTGAATGCCATTTGATGCTGCGACTATTAGAGTTGCTTCTACACTATAGTGGTGCCTGAGTTCATTGTAGTTCCTCCTCTCCCTTCCTACCAATCTGGGCACAGAAGCCTTGGAAATCTGCCCTCAAGCTCCACCAGCTATTATCAGCAGCTCTCCTCAAAGTTTGAAGGCAAATAGTAAGCTTTCCATGCTTCTATCTGGATGGAATTACTGAAAAAGAAAGGAAGCCAGTGGAATTACTAGGTCTTAAACTGAATCATGCGGCTGAATGCTAGTCTGGCTGAGAACCAAACCATGCCTTTGTTTGTTAAATGTTTAAGCTTTTATGACACAAAGTGCTTTCTTAGAAGTGTTTGTATTTAGCTAGAGCTAGAGTGGCTAAAGCGTTTTTTTCTCAGCATTAAAACAAGGTATTCTTTAAATATGATTCCTGTTTGGTTACTTCCCTTTCTCCTCCCTTCCTCCAAGAACTACAGTTTTTCTTGGTTTTGTTGTATAGTGGTGACATTCTTGTGGAGTACTATCCTACATGGCTTATTCTGCTTGTATTAGAGAAGTGTTAACCTTCAAAAGAGTATTCTCAGTAATCAGCATGGGAGGAGACTCTCTCAGTTTAATCACATTTTGTATTTATATGTTCTTTGTTTGCCTAAGTAGCTGTTGATTTGCTTTGACAGTTCTTCCTTCTCCTGTATGTTCTTGCTAATTGGCATTTATACTAGAGAGTAAAGATTGCAATGCTTGTTTGAAAATTTTGCCAAAAGGTCACAGAGTCATTGCTATTCCACTCAATACCTTAAACTTCAGAACTTGAAATTTAAGAAGTTAAGTATTTCCTTTGACCTTTATTTTTTTGCAAAGCATGCTGGAGGCCAGAGCTCAGACCATTGCCTTGTGAATGTGTCCTGTACTTAGCTATAGACCTTATATTTGCCAGATGGCAAAATCCAGCCAGGAAAGAAAGCTAATATATGCTTCTTTCTCTTTTCATCCTTCCATGCAATTTCCATTCTTTTCAAGGTATCGATCACTTCTCAAATTGTGAAAGATCAACTTAATGTTTTCTTGATGCAAGGATATATGATATTAATGCTAGGTCAGCTTGCCAAACACAATTGACACAGAGACTCCCTAAGTTTTGCTAGTGGCAAAATTAATTTAGCCCAAACACACAGTAAAGAAAAAGTACACAGCAAAAAACTCTTTTGTAGAGCACAGAAGGTTAGATCTGACCATTTATCCCCAAATGACACCCTTCAGGGTGCAATATGAAATAATTAGTTAAAAGGCCTTTCAGAATAAGTTCTCACAGATAAAGGAGCAGTGAGAATACCAGGAGATTCAAAATGCAGAGGGCATTAATAAGACACAAAAAAGAGACCCAGAGCTAAAGTTTGTTTAGCAAAATGTGTCCTGATCTACATATTTGCTGTTAGGCACTCCTTGAAAATATTATTTGTGGTATTTTTATCATAGCAACAAATACCCTACAGGGAATGAGAACACAATTATTGATGAAATTTTTGTGCCTTTGGGTATAGGATGTTAGCATTAAGCATGGGAACTTGAACAGCAAAAAAATATAAATGATGTCATATTGATGCATATAATTGGAAGCTCTCAGACCATAAAAATAGTTGTTACAGGAACAACTGCTGGACAAATAATATCTCATCCTTAGCAAAATAGTCAGTTTAAAGACTGTAAGACCATACACTAATAGAGGTCTATAACACACTTGTAATAGATAAAAGACTAAAAATAGCAAGTGAAGTTCTCAAAATTGTGAAGTAAGGCAGTATTTTCAGAGCTTTTTTAAAAAGAAGAATTGTAATCTATGGCCCTCTCTTACAGTGGTACTTCTACTGGAATTCGCTGGATCCTGAATTAAAGAGGCAGGATGCAGTTTGAAACATTCTACTTTTTCTTCTGCTCTTAATGTTCTTTAACGAGCAGAAATAAATCCTAATATGTGACAATTGCCATAGCTTTCCTGAAACCAATGAAATTTTAATTTCCAGAGTTGTTGAGAATTTGACCGAAATATTAACCAGGGAAAAACAGATCCATTGAACTACTGAGGAAGCAGAACACAGACAACTGTAAACAGATCAATAGGAAGAAAAACTAGAATCAGCATTCTAAGAAAGAAGAACAAATAATTTCTACTACAGATTTATTTAATATAGGATAGGCATGGAAAAGGAAAGAAAATTTGGAAAACAAATTATTTCTGCTTTATGTTATTTACAAATCACTTATAAATAATAATGCAATAGGACTTACAACAACAAGACAATCGTTCTTAGTCTCTTGTCTTTGGATACAGGAGAAGTGCTTATTGGAAAAGCTCTAGTGTCTGTGCTACAGAAACCTCCCCCTTTCATGTAAATTTTGAATGTATTTTTGTGGAATGTAGCCATTATGAGCTTGCACACTGAACCACTTTTTTCTATATGTAACAGGGACTGAGTGCAATGTCATAGTAGTATATGTGCAACATCCACATTGTGGTAAGGCATATGGGGGGGATTAGTTAAAGATCAGATTTCTCCAGAATATTTTCTTTCAAGAAAGTTTTTTCATCACTTTTGAATGGTAAAGCTAGAAATCAGTTTTATGTCACTCTAAACAGGGGTTAATACAGCGTTGTATCTGCCTCACGCTCATGATCTCTATTTAAGAATAAAAAACTTACTGGTGATATTAATAATTGTGTGTCAGACTGTGTGCCTGAACACAACTCAGTGTTCTGAAGGCAATACAACCCTGCTCTCTTATATAGGATTTTCTTTGCTTTCCCAACAGCTTACTGCTTCCCTGCCACCAGAGCAAGGTACCTATTTGTCCTGAATGGAAGCACAATGATGCAAACAATTTTCTTTGCCATCTTGCAAAAAACGGTGAACAAAATTGGATTTTGGCAGATACCTACCCAAACACCATGTAAGGTCCTCATGGCTGGTAATCAAATTTAAAAGTCACCAAATATATATGGCCATTCACATGATGCCTGGCACCTTTTGGTCTAAAAAGCATAATAGGCATTATGCACATAGAGACACGTGACAGAATGCAGCTGAGGGCAGTAGGGAAAATTCATGGGAATTATCACAGATGAGTCCCAAGTTGCCATCTGGTTACTGAAACCTCCCTGACTATATGCTGGAATATGTTTACACTTAGCTTTATCCCCAAGTCTTATGACTGCATTCTCTATGACATGATGCTCATAATAAATCTCTAGGAACCATGGAGCCAGCTGACTCTGTACATGTAAGCATTATTCTTTGAGGGTTTTTTACAAAATTTAAGTGATAGTATTAGTTGCCTATTTCCAGAAGAGGAACAAAATCAGAACAAAATGTGGTTGTGTAACATCTGTCTCAGGTGAGAGTAAACACGTTCTTGCTACTTTGAGAGATTACACCAACTCCCAAATGAAAACCAGAGCTTTTGCCAATGCAAACATTTATTTGAAGGCTCAAGAGAGCACAAACTTTCTCCAATGTTCCTTGTGCCCTCTCCATAGAACATGCAAACTGGCTGATCAGCATAGCAGAATATGGCTGAAAAGTGCATTCTGAAGAATTTGACACTTTTCTTCCCTAAAACCTACACTTCTAAGCTCACTGAGCTTCTACAATTCTAAGCTCACTGATTTTTCTTCTCCTACTCTCCAGCAGCTGAATTTTGAAACTATTGCACTAGACTATTCCTCCTGAGAACACACCTTGAAATTTTCCAAGCTTTTGCAAGAACAGGTCCACAAGCATTAGACTCAGGAAACAAAATGTTCTTCCTAATTCATTTTTGAAATTTTACATGCTTGATTTTTCCATTATGCATTCCTGTCACTACTGTATGCTGTCTCAGAAAGTCTTTCTTGCAATTGATTAGGCTAGATTTAATGCTATCATTTGTTTTACACTCGGACATTGAGCCTACAATGTCTTCTTTGCTGTGCCTGCTTTTGCCCCACTTGGCTTTCTACCTTTTGCTTTCAGAGCCTGAAGGACATTACTGATCTTTGTCTTATACCTGTACAGACAGCTGGCAACAGTTTTGCATCAGAGTCCACAGGAGTCATCTTGCTGATGACCTATTTCATATTAAAACTTCTTTACACAGCTTCTGCACACTCAAAGGCCTGCAGAAAATCCTGCTGGAAGAATTATGTCCCATATAATGACATTTCATTAGCCTGTGCTTGTCTCCAGTAGTACATACCTTATGGGTAATAGGATGAGGTTATATTCCTAACAGGCTAAAATAGGTACACGCTCCTGATAGGAATTAGAGAAGCACACAAAATTTAGGAATAGCAGAGGTGACTGCAAGCAAAGCCTGGTGTCTCCAGCTACATCCAAGGGAATACCAAGGAAGGACATACTGATGCCTCCCTCATTTATCCTTGTTTTCCAGTAGAAGAGACTGCTTATAAAGCTTGTCAGATTTGGGGCTAGCATTTTCAAGTTTATAACTTCTCTAACCCTTTCCCCCCTGCTGTTTACAGCATGGATAAATATTTGTTTTTTTAATTAGTTGATTAGCGTCTTATGTAAATATTTCTTCTTGTAAATATTTTTTCAGCTTACATTTCAATCTTTACAGCCACTGTTGACTTCTAAACATAAAATATGATGGCAAGTAATTTAAAATATTACACTAATCAG